ACCCTTGACCCTTCATCCCATTTTATTTGGGATGTCATTTTGTTCATATAATATCAAATTAACAACATCTAGAAATTTAAAGCAATCGTTGATTTGGTCTTTAACGTAAATAACTTTGTCTAAATACTTTTATAAAAACGGTGAATTGGATTTTTGCTTAGCAAGTGTACCTTTAAAGTGAAATAAAGGTTTGCAGAGTCATGTAGTGTGTTTTTAGCTGAATTACATCTTTCAAGGGCTTCTTAAAAGTTTTTTTGGTTGATTTCGAGGTTTTTTTTGTTGATATTCCTTGTATTTTCTAATATCCCGAGCACCCCTCAAAGTTTAGCAGGTGCACTTTCCATGCCCCCTCTAATAACTGTACTTGCGAAAAACGATTGAGCAGGTGCACGAGACCACTTTCGGGCCTTCATAACTCGCCTCTACTTTATAAAATCCAATATTATATGGAGGTGTTTATATTTGAATCTCTCTCAATACATATGTGTATGTATATACACTTAACATATATAAATGTATACAGATGGTGAATGCAGTTGTAAGGCTAGTTGAACACACGAAAGGTTTGTGTTTGAAGGGGAGATGTTGAAACACGTATCAAACATTAAACGAAATTAAGGTAAGGTAGAGACAAGTTACTTTTGTATGTTTCTTTCTCTTGAAATGCTTAACTGATGGCTGGCCAATATCAGTTTGTATCTTACAATATACGTATGAAAGAAAAATTCTTGAATCTATTTATTAATTACTGATTTTATTGATATAAATAAGAATGTTCTTCCTACAAATTATAATCCAGTAATGTTTTATACCCAAAAAATCTTTGAAATTGATGTTTGAAGCTTATATTCATCGGTACATGGGATGTTTACTATACCTTAGAGGTCGTTTAGTAATCCACTTAGTTAGTTAGAGAGAGAAATAGGAGTGATAAAACTCAGGTATCTACGTTCGATGTTTTGTTTGACTTATTGAATATGATTTGGCTTGGATGTAAAACCAATGTTAATAATGAAAGGTTTTCGTATAAAATTGAACCAAAAACCAAGCTACATATATAATATACTTGGTATTACGAAAATAGAGAAGGTTTACTCTGCAAACCACATTATTTGTATAAACCGTACAAATCTCGTTCAACCAATCATAATTTTTCATTTTGTGTTTAATTATGAGAGGTTGATTAATCATTTTTATTGTGGAAGGTATTAACCATAAATATTATTATCTTTATTATACTAATTTTAGATAAATACGAGAAACAGTTTCATTAAAATTTCATAAGTTTTATATGAAACAATTTCATAACAATATACGAAACAACTTCATCAAAAAAATATTATATGAAACAATTTCATGAAAAAATTTCATAAGATTAAACAATGAAATCGATTATATGAGGGTGGTTTGCATGATCTGTACAAATATGGGTGGTTTGCATTTAATCGCTCATCTACGAAAATAAAGTAATAAATTTTGATTGGTTTGATCTTGGCTCTAAGGGGCAAAAATATCTGGAGGTCTCATGTTCAGATTAAAAGAAAAATAAAAATCTCCTTGTGACCATTTTTAGTTATAAACAACCGTGCCAACAAAATAAAATTTTCAAACGATCGAAATGACCGTTCATATTTAAAAGCTACAAAAATGTCCATCTCATTTGTTTGAATTTTATAAATGTGAAAGTTGGAATTTAAATTCCGAAAACAAAATATAAAAGCATGGACCCCAACTTTAGGAGCGTGTAGAATGGCTAAAAGCCTTTAGACACACGTATACGACTCTCTTGAATCGACTAAAATTCACCTTTTCATATAATTCATTCTTTGATCGACTTATGAACCTTCCTTCTTTTCATTTTCTATTATATCCTTTAAACTACATGTCTATATGCATCGTCTCCGTTCTTAACGACAACCACCGTCATACCACCCCATCCATTGACCATTTGACCAACAACAACCATCGGCTCAACCCATTTCGTCGTCTCCCTTTTTCTCTTCAACATGCATCCGCGACTCGGCTTTCGTCACTTATTGACCAACAATAACCACCGACCAACCTTTTCAATTTAGTTTTATTCGTCATGTGTTAACTACTGAATGAGTAATAATGGTTACCAAAATGAAATATGAGTTTGGTTACGAATTACAATACAAATTATGTTGTGTTTTAAGTTTAAACGTAAAAATCAAATTGAACAAACCAAACTCGTTGATTTGAAAAACCCGTAACCCTAACCGATATCGACGTATAGTATTGGATGAAATAGGAATTCTATAAAAAGTCGTTAACGGGTTTAACACGTTAAAAGAAAAATAAAATGGTCGATAACCAAACAAGTTGCCAAGTGGACTAATATCATCCACTCTCTTGTTCCAGCTTTGTACCAATCATTGAATAGTGTTTAGCCACGTGGACACCAATCATAAGTCCTAAATAACGCGATGCATGTAACCCTTCCCTTCCGTTATCATTCCCAACATCTTTGACTTGAGGATGGTCAAATACAACTATTGTTTGACTTTTTTACTTTGACCAGAATTTTAGACCCCTGGTTTTACAATTGTAATAATTTAGTTAAATATTGTCGTTTTATTGGTTATTTGATCAAAATATATATACTATAAAACATTTGGTAAAATCTTTTAATTTTTTTTGTATGAAATATTGATGTACTAAAACATTTCGTAATACAGCAAGACACATCTCAATTTTAATGTTCTATTTTATTATTTGTCTTTGTCGATGTTATAATACGATTTTATATGTTTTTAAAAAAACAATAATGATTTTTATTTTTGAATAAAATATAAATTGGAAGATATCATAAAAATTAAAAAAATATATATATCAATGTTTTTATCAAATCAACTATTTAAAAATTCTTAATTTTTATGTAATTTCTTTAATTTATTTTTTATTATAATTTAATTTAAGTTTAATAATGAAATAATTTATTTTTGGTTTAATAATATAATATTTTATAAAGATAATAATTAAGTATTCTGTTAGTACTTAATGATTATCCTAATTATATTTTATATTTTTTATATTTAAAATGAGATTTTATCTTGTATTTGATTATATTTATATGCAGCTAGTTACACAAATTCAGATATGGAGTTTTAATAAGTTGTACTTACGCACAATCTACTTGAAACGTTGAGTTTTAAATAATATGCATTAATAAAAATTACTTTACGCATAAAAAATAGTTTTTAAGAGTTTTTGTCAAATACTTTATAATATAGTATAAATATTACTTAAAATTCAGTATTAAAAAATAAATTATACGCAAGTACAACTTATTAAAACTTTATTTTTGAATTCGTATAATTAACAATAGATAAATATAATCAAATACATGATAAATATATCATTTTAAATATAAAAAATTAAAATATAATTAAGATAATCATTAAGTTTTAACAGACTAATTTGTTATCATCCTTATAAAAATTATATTATTAAATAAAAATAAATAGCTTTGTTATTAAATCTAAATTAAATTATAACAAAATATTTATATTCTATTAAAAAATAAAAATATTAGCATTTTCTAAAACCACATAAAACCGTATTATATCGACAAAGAAAATGAATAAAATGAAACATTAAAATTATAATATCTTGCTGCATTACACGAGTACCCTTTTAGTCATAAAAATACAAATATATAGATTATTGAAGTTTTGTTTGGTAAAACTCATGTCCTTTTTAGTAATTTTCACTTATATTTTATCAAAATTATGATTATGTTTCACAATATAATTAAAGAATATGTAACAAATTATTATTTTCATGTACGTTGAAGATTTAGAAAATTGAAAACCGTGTTTTATTGATTTAAAGGTGGTTTTAATTAAAATCAAATGATCAACACATGTATGTTAACGACTTCTATAAACGAAACAAACTTTCACATTTTGATTTTCCGAAGACGTAGACATTTCCGTCAAGTTTTTTTATTTCTCTTAGAAACACGAGTTTTGCCAAACTTCTATGACTCTTTCGGCTAACCATCGTCTACCTATTCTATGATTCTTATATTTTCTATAACATTTATGCATGTTTATGTTAGATGAAAAGTTTAACTGCAATTTATTTTCACAATTCAGTTATTAAACTTAGCTATTTAACTTTCCGTTTGCCGTTTTAAGTAAAAGATACTAAATATTAATAAATTAATGTTTGACTTTAACAGACCAACATTCAGTGCGATGTATTAATTTTTTATTAAAAAATAGATTTAACTACACTGTCTAATTTTATTTCAGTAAATACAACATTCCACAAGAATGATTATTGTGACTTGAAAAAATTTGATCTTAATTTTGATTATATAATTTACTAAAGGCAGAATAATAATAGTAAATGTATATTTTATTAAAGGAAAAAAATTAATTAGGTTACTCTAAATTAATACATTATTGTCCAATAAATTCCTTCCAATTTTAGACTGGCACACATTAATATAAATGTCAAACATATATTTTTTTATACATGATTTTATTAAAAATAGGTTTATTTAAAATATTTTATTTATAATTTTTAAATATTAATATGAAAAACCAAACCTAGATCCCTTTTGTTCGAGTCTTGCTCGATCGACAATAAAATTTGAGTTTTTTGTCTCTTTATAGAGGTTATCGGTTCGAGTACTGTATGGTCAATAAAGATTTTCCTGACTGTTCTTTTAGATTTTTAAGATTAGTCTGAGGTGCGCAAAATTTAATTCGAATACTGATAGTTAAATAAAATAATAAAAAATATTTTTTTATGTGAAAAATAACAATAAATGTGAATATATTTATTTTGGTATATTTATGAAAACATAGGGGATGTGGAAAAAAAGTGGGTCTTCACAAAAGAGAAGTATGTTTGGCTTATTGGGATCCTAAAAGTTCCTTCTTAAAATCATGTTTATAAAGAAAAAAAAAAGGTAAATAATTCAAAGCACTCCCAACACAAAACCCTTCAAAATCTTCTTCAATTAGCAACAATCTTTAAACCCGCGATTTTATTGCTCAAAATCAATTCACGAGAAAATCTCGCCCTAGACTCTCACCTCTGTTAACAAATTTCGAGTCTCTAAATCTTCGAGAAAAAAGCTCTTAAACCCACGTTGGTTTCCTAGAAATATTCGTGGGTTCAATCTCAAGAACAATTCCAAAGGTACTCTTTCAGAGAAATTTCGTCATTCTTTTGTGTTTTTTTGCCCAAATTTGACTGTATGCCAATGAATGGAACACACAAAAAAGGGGTTAGTTGTATGTTTTAAGCAGATGATTTGATGAAGTTTCTGGCGATCCAATAATATTTGAATGTAAGCAAGTATATATGCATGTTTTCATTTGACTTTAGGGGTTAGCGATTAGGGTTCTTAACCTTGTATTGTGGCTTAAGTAACTTCATGTCCATTGGGGGTTTCCTTATATTTTAGAAGCGTAGTTATGTTGTCTTTTTGGTCGTTTTTTCATTGATGGGTGCTGGGGAAACCCAATCGTTGCATGTTAATTTGGCAAAAGTTAGGCACATGATTGGTTCGATTGCCTGATATCAAAGTAATCTGTGGAGGAAATTGAGGGATGGAGCACATGGATTTTGTGGGTATTTGAATTGGTTTCTTCTTGTGTGGAATTCAGTTTACTATAAGAATGAAGTCACAAAACCATATTTTGTATCCACTGCAACTCTTTCTATTCATCTTTATGTTTAATTGCTTGTGAGTACCATCCATATAATCAACTACTGTTTTCTGGGTATTTTGAGTTTTTTCGTTTCTGGTTAATTCATGGTTATAATTCTGTAAAAGCATCGAAATGATGGTTTTCTTGATGATCCATTTTGCAATTTGCTCTGGTTTCTTCAGGTTTTGCTTTGTGTTTTGAGTTGGGATTCTGTTGGGCAGCTTGGATTTGAACTTTTTCCAAAGAATGCAAAGCTGCTCTTGCAGCTTAATTTGTTCTTGTTAGTATGAATTTCGAAGAAAGTAAACGAAAGGGAAACATTAACCGGAGGTTTGTATCTTTTTTGACGTTTGATTCACATGTGAATGAAAAGTATTTTATGTTTATTCATCTGTGAATGATTGTAACTTTCAGGAAATCAAACGAGTGTACGAAGCTTACTGTGACCATCACAGTTGGTATTCTTTTCGGCTTCTTCATTGGGGCATCCTTTCCGGCCTTTTCACCATCAAAGGTATTACCCGTCGCATGAAAATTGCAAAATTAAGAGAAAATGCATTTATATTTTTTGGCACATTCACAAGAACGATGTTTGTTTTACAATGAAAAACCAACTAAAACGGATTGTCGTCAATCGCTCTTTTAGATCATGTTCACAATAAAAATTACCATTTTATAAAGAAAATGAAGATTTTGGAGTTTTTTTTGGAAAGAAACTGTTCTCCATATTTGAAGGAGAGAGGATCTCCAAAATTAAATTTTGGAAGAAAGAGAATATACATTAATTATTTTTGCTTATTTTGAAGGAGAGAGATTGAAAGAGAGGACAAAAATTACTGCATTATTCATTTTCGAGAAAGTATGGAAAAACGGTTGAAAATGCTCGTATTTTCTCATTATTATTATCATCATCATAAAGAACAATGTATTTATTTATCTTAGTCCAGAAAAATACCTTATCGTTCCGGTTCTTGGAAGGGTATTTTGGACATTTGACGAACATTTAAAAACTTACCGACAACTTTATGACTCCGACTCTCGAGTCCAGACATACGGTTTTCATGGGACAAAGTGATCATGTTATTACTTTTTATTTCTATATGTATGCTTGTGTTTGCTTCATAGTTGCTCTTCTACCTAAAGTATCATGTCTGGATTGCTTACTTTGATAACAAGCTTTCGGTGTTCGAATTTGACAGATTAAACTTATTCCTCCGATCGATACATACCTTTGGGACAAAAATTCCGGCCACTCGTCACAAACGATCTTAAATGTGATTTCTGTAACGAGGGAAAACGTCTCAAAGGAAACGCGACAAATTCATAATCCATCAAAGGTAATCATAATTTGTTTTTAGAACATGGGTATTTGGTGTTTTCATTTTATGGAACAGATAACCAAAAATGTTGTGAACTTCAAATTATTTGCTACAGATTTGGGTCTCATCGAACCCACGAGGTGCAGAAAGACTCCCTCCAGCTATTATTGCTTCCGAATCAGACTTCTATCCTCGCAGATTGTTTGGTCAACCGAGCGAGGTTTGTCAATCTATGCTACATGTAGAGATGGCCAAATGGGCCCGGCACGGTCCGGGTCCGGGACCGACTTAGGACCGGCCCGGCCTAGGACCGGTTTGGGACCGCTCGTTAAGGACTTGCTATGGTTTTCACCCAAAAACAAGGCCCAGCCTTGGACCGGTTATAGGCTCGGCCCAGGACCCGACCGATTTTTTCAAAAAAAAGTATTTTTATATATATTTCTAGCTTTCTAAGTGTATTTGATTGAAAATCAAATTACAAATTTACAATTAAACATATTCTTTTAAGTGTATTAAATTGAAAACCAATTAAAAAACTATAATAAAACATAATTCTTATATATGATTGACCTAATTAGATATTTTAAAGTGTATTAGAATAACATTAAAATATATTTAAAATTTTATCAAAAAGAAATTAAAAAAAATATAAAAAGGAAATGTTTTTTTTAATATAGGACCGGTTTGGGCTCGGCCCATGACCGGTTACAAATACCCTTAACTGGGTCTTAGTATTTTTGACGGGACTGGTCCGAATTGTTACTGTTTGGGACTGGGACTGATTTAGGCCGGGACCAGGCCATGTTTTTGGGTCCATTGTAGACTTAATGAATTGGACCCGGCCCGATAAACCCGGTTCAAGATATATTTTTCAAAAACTTGAAAAGCCATATTGGGCTCTATTTTCACTCTGAAAAAAGTGAAGTTAGGACAGTAGGAAGTAGGAATGGATAAAAAATGGACAAACCAAGGTGTGATCTTGAAATGATATTCCGTTTATTGTTTCTTTGCATTTGCAGGACCTAACGATCAAACCGAAGTATCTGTTAATTTTCACGGTTGGTTATAATCAGAGATATAACATCGATAAGGCAGTAAAAAAGTTCTCCGAGAATTTTACAGTCCTCCTCTTTCATTACGATGGTCGAACAACAGAATGGGATGAATTTGAATGGTCGAAGAAGGCTATTCATATAAGCGTCGCAAAACAAACAAAATGGTACATTAAACTTGCTATGCTCGTTGGATCAAGTTTGTTGTATTTGATCGAATTTATGATTATGAACACTTAAAATCTTCGTTTTTTAAGGTGGTATGCGAAGAGATTCCTTCATCCCGACATTGTTGCATCTTATGACTTCATATTTATTTGGGACGAAGATCTTGGGGTTGAGCACTTTAACGCTGAAGAGTGAGTATTTTACACAATGCAACAAAATCGGTTTTATAGAACGCTAAAAATGTCTAAATGTCCTAATATACTGCTTTGTACGATGCAAAATCATAAATAGCCTATTAGGACATTTAGGGGTTGTTTGGTTTTCCATTATGTCATCTATGGATAAAGCTGCCTGTGTGGATTAATCTTTCTGTATGGATTGAGAAGGTTTTTTGTTAGGCATGGGTTTTCATAGATTGAAGGAGCGTGTTTGTTTTCCAACTGAGAGGGGGCAGGGCTGGAAAAAACTTAAAAGACTTTTTGCATAAAGCTCCCTCCTAAAAACTTACCGAATAAGTCATTTTCTATATCATTAAGCCACTACCAAATAGTCATATATAGCCAACTGAATAAGCTATAAGTCTCATTAAGCTCATTAAGGTGCTAATAAAGGGGTCCTTAGACATTTTTTATGTACTATAAAGCTGATTTTGCTATAATGAGACAATTTTAGTCTTTCTTTGACAGTTTATTTATCAACAATCATGAGCTAATTGTAGAACACTTGCTTTGATTCTTTCGTTATGTTTTAGATACATTAAACTTGTGAGGAAGCATAATTTAGACATATCGCAGCCTGGCTTGGATCCTAGTAGCCGGGGTTTAACATGGCAAATGACCAAGAGACGGGGAGATCATGAAGTTCACAAGTAAGTCGAACGAGCGATCAAAACTTGCCATTTTTGGCGCATTTTTACGAGAATTTGGTTACTGGTTACTAAGATTGTTGAAACTGAAACCATTGTACGCGAATGCTAATGTTTTTTTATGTTATGATTCTATAGAGAAACGGATGATAAGCCAGGTTGGTGCAGTGATCCGCATTTGCCTCCTTGCGCAGCGTATGAACAAACCATTCGTTATGAATTTATTCGTTATTTACACAAAACCCTTGATTCCCACAAAAAATAAATTCACTTCGAAATGGTTAAAAATAAATTCATTTTATTAGATTGTTCGACTATTAATCAAATTTATCGTTACAGATTTGTCGAGATTATGGCTCCAGTTTTTTCTCGGGAGGCTTGGCGCTGCGTATGGCATTTAATCCAGGTATAGCATATGATCACATCTTTTTCTCATTATACACTACAATAAAGTCGGTCGTTTAGGGTGTACTAATAGAGTACCTAACGAGACTTTAAGTTTATAGGACCAAAATCAACTTTCTATCTGAAAGCGTTACAATAAATTGTTTGGATGAAGTTAGATGACCCAATGAGTTCTATTCTATTGATGAAGTTGGATGACCTAACGGGACACTTTTCAAAAGTATATAAAAAGACTAATAGGACGATCTGTGTGTTCTTTCTATCAGATTGTCTAACAACTTATTGTAACGTCTTTACATAGAACGTTGGTTTTTAGTCTGATAAACTTAAAGTTTCATTAAGTACTCTATATGATGCATGTGCATCTTAAAAGACGCATGTTGTTCTAGCGACACTGATCTTTTCATATGATTGTATCGTATCGTATCTAACTCTTAAAATTATATATATGTAGAATGATTTGATCCATGGATGGGGTCTTGATTTCGCTCTCCAAAAATGTGTCGAGGTAGCTACGCGTCGCTCATTTAGTTCGATTTTGCTCTAAAAAAGCTCGTCTTTTTTACGAAAGCCGCAAATAGATACATACTGTATTCATTTTGTACGTTTCTTTCTTAATTGGTGTCATAGCCTGCATATGAAAAGATAGGAGTTGTTGATGCACAATGGATAGTTCATCAAGGGCTACCTTCACTTGGGAATCAGGTAAAAAGCAATTTCCAGATTTGCCCTTGTGAGCTTGGGTGAGTCTTAGGGTAAACACTCATTGATCTCCCTTGTTCTATTTGTGCAGGGGCAAGGAGAAAATGGTAAAGCACCATGGCAAGGGGTATGTGCAGTTGGCTCTTTTGAAGAGTAATCTGATGAAGTTTTATGTTAATAATCTTTTAATACTTTGGTTTTACGACTTTTGGTGGCAGGTGAGGGATAGGTGTCAAAACGAGTGGAAATTGTTTCGCGAACGAGTATCGAACGCTGATAAAGAGTATTATAAGTCAATTGGTGTTGATCCTTCGAATTTTACAACACATTAATCGACACGTGATGATATTTGTGACTACTATACCTATTGATTGTTTTCATTGTTACTATTTGGTTATTAACCGTTATATAGAGGTAGATGTTCATAGTTTCATGTAGCTTATTACTTTAAAGGCAAATAATCTAATACTTGCATATTATATATATATATATATATATATATATATATTATAATATTTACAACTTATTAATGTGTTTGAACTTTTAAAAAATTAAAAGATAATCAATTGATAAACATGTTCAAATACATGATACGTGTTGAACCATATTAATATGAAAAAAAAAATAAAAAAAATACTCCATATAAGTAATAACTAACAGAATATTATGTCGCTCATTCAAAACTACGCAAATCATAAAATAAAATCGAAAGAGACGAATAAAGTTGTAAGTCATTATTCGGGAGGTTCACAAAAAGAACAAAAAAATGGAACACCATTATCATCCGTTGGATCTAAAAGATAGATGATCGATATTCAAATGTAGCAGTCAACATGATCGTAATTCCCATTTTTAGCGTTATTTTCTTGACCTCACCAGTCACCACTATCTTTAAACCAGTCATAATTGGCCTCCAACACCAGGAATCATATCCCTTTTGTTATGTTATGGACGTCTTTTCTATCTTTATCTTAAAACAATGTTAGATAAAATAGAATATGAACTTATCTAATTTATTTTGCACCATGAATAACTTTTAACAATAAAAAACATCGAAAAAGTAGATGCAATTTCAAATCAACCATCCATCATAGATATTGTCTTGCTGAGTTCCAACTTCTTATGCTCATACTTGATGGAATCCTCAAATATTGCAACGATATCTTCATTCTTACCATTATTCATGGTGCTTGAAAACGTATTATCGTAATTATAATCTTGAAAGTTTGCCACGTTACAAGATAGTGTTGCCTTATGCTCGAGCTTCTAAAAGCCATGACATGAGTCGTGACATAGACGTTTGAACAGGGAGGCACGTCAAGTAATTTGTGCGGTGTTTCTTTCACTTTTTTTCGGAGAAACAGTGTTGATGGATGGTGGGGTCGTATTATTCGCTATGTGTATTATTTGGTTATTTGAGAATAAGAAAACTAGAAAATTGTAAAAGCTAAGGTTTGATATGTGACGAGGAATTATAGTAACATATCTATAGAGGAGTATTTTCAAAGATAATATATAATAGATTCTTTTTATATTCTTATTTTGACTTTTTAAGGTTGGTTTAATTTCGTGGAAAAAAAGAGTTACGAGGAAATGGATTTAAATTTCATTTTCTTCATATCGTACAAGAATGCGACACATCATTCTAAGATGGTTATACCGAACATGATTCTTTTCATAAATACGTAACATATATGATCTAAGTGTTCACAGGTGCTCCTTTTTTCTTAACCAATTGATTCATCTCAGGGGCGGAGCCAACTTTGGTTTAGTGGTTTCACTAGCCACTGTCTCTTGCAAAAACTGTGTGTTTCAAATGACGCTCAAGTTTGTTTAATTTTAATTTCTTTCATATCCCACCCTTAGAAGCCATTAAAAAACCAACCAAAGACCGTGACTTCTCATATGATCCTTTGCATATCTATCTATCTATCTATCTATCTATATATATATATATATATATATATATATATATATATATATATTATACAGGGGAAAGATATTTTACAAACCAAGCCATTTATAAAAACTGTGAAAATCGTCGATTTCATTGTTTGTTTTGGTGAAAATTTTTCATGAAATTATTTAATATGATAAAATTGTTTCAAATAATTCATTTCAAATAATTATGGATATTATTATCTTCATTTTATTAGTTTTAGTAAACAAATTTCATCAAAATGAGAAATACATGATACATTTTAATTTTTACATAGAAACAAAAATATATAAACCAAATGACCTAGTGGTATGTAAGTCATTGGCTTCTTAGGAGGACAAATGATCAAACCTTATCAAAAGTGAGGATGGTGTGCAAGTTTATTTGTTCTATTTCACTACTAGAAAACTGGGCATTTCCGGCGGAATTTCCGGCGGAACTTTAAAAAGTCAAATTTTGTTGACTTCCGCCGGACAACCGCCGGAAATC